TGTTCTACCTTTTCAGCTACAATTTGTTTTAGCTAATTTCAGCTGTTTTCAGACAAATTCAAGTTTTTCATGGTAGTCTACGCTACTTTCAGCCTAATTGACTTATTTCTTCTTATTTTCTGCTAGTTTCAGCTTTTTCTTGAATTTCAGCTATTTTTTTAGCTGTTTTGTGCCAAATTTAGCTTTTTCAGCTAATTCTACATTTTTTTTAGCTCATTTCAGCTCATTCCACGCATCTGGTAGTTTAAGCTTCTTTCTACTTTTTCAGCTACTTTGCTTTAATTTTTTTAGCTAATTTCCTAATTTTTTTAGCTAATTTCTGTCTATTTAATTCAGCAAATGATGCAAAATATGTGTTCTTTCTGTTTTTTTCTGCTAACTTGGGCTTGTTCTTCCAGTTCAGCTACATTTCAGCATTTGTTTAGCTAATTTCAGTTGTTTTTCAGCAAGTTCTTCTGCAATAAGCATTCACACTGCATTTTCGCATGAAATGCAATTTCACTAGTTTGTAACTGCGTTGAACTCATCACACACAAGAGGAGCAGCAGGCAGTGATTTAAGTACCTGGGGAACAGTTAGAGAATGGGTGTCTTGCTCAAGGACACTGCAACATATGGGCAGAGTGGGGAGTTGAACCTGTCACTTTCTGGTTCCAATGCTACTGCCATACGATTGCACCACAGCCGCCCCTGTCCCTTTTGCCCTTTATCCTCAAACTATCCTTTAACTTTATGAGCTGAGATGAAAAATCAAATGCTTTAACTGCTGAAATACTGTACACTTTTTGATAATATCTTTGTCCACCATAAACAAGTCAATCTTTTAAATCTATCTCAGTCTTTAATGTAACTAACAACATTAAACAGCCTTTTTTGATTTTGTCTTCTTACGAGCTTTGAGTTTTAGAAAATTGCACAATTGAGATTTTTTCTTTTGTAAATCAATAATTAATTTATTTTCAGGCTTTTTCACCCTGAGGATGCACAAATGCATATTTTAAACAATTAAAAGTAGAAAAAAATTCAGGCAGGAGTTTTTGGAAGATTACACCACGAGATTGGACTCAGCCACTGACGACCATTGAGTTGTTGTTTTTTTTTAACAAATTATATGACTTTACTGTGCACAACATCAGTGTGGGTTTATTTTTTTTACATTTACAGAACCAGATAGACCGGGATGTTTCAGTTGACCCAGAAGCAGCCAACTCCTGGCGTGGACGATACTTCAGTCTGCATGCACGTGGATCTACGGTTTTGTCCCAAATGTTTATTCATGCACAACACAAGTTTGCTTTTGCTCTTTGCATCCAATCTAAAACAATTTTGAAGAGTGACCATCTCTGACAGCAAGCTGCAGCTGCAAAGTACAGGTAGATACCTTTCCCAGGTAGGTTGAACAAAGTCTGCTCAGGGGCATCACAGCCACCCTCAAATTCAAAGGCAGACCACCACAAAGTGGGCTAAAACAAAAATCAGAAGTACTATAGAGGGAAAGAGGTTAAAAAAAAAAACTAACTGAAATGAATGCATTATTTTATAACATAACAAAAATTTAATCAAAAATGCATCTTGTGGAACCAACTTCCCGTTTCTGTCCATGAGGTTGACACATTGTCTTTTTTAAAGACTAGGCTTGTCTTTCATTTATGATGAATCCTATAGTTAAGGTAGGCTTGGGTTTCTTGATATGCTGCTATAGTCAACCTCTCCACATCTACACCTCCAGATGCAGGAACAGGGCCACCTGCATCATGCAGGACCCCACTCACCCAGCACACACACTTTTTGCCCCGCTCCCCTCAGGCAGGAGGTTGAGGAGCATTAAGTGTAGAACCACTAGACTGAGGAACAGCTTCTACCCTGAGGCTGTTAGACTCATGAACATTTAACCAGGATAGTCACTGTGAAGAATCACATCATGTTGCTGCTGATCTGTTTCATGTTGCTGCTGATCTGTTTCAGGCTGCTGTGTTCATTTGTACTCATCTGCTCACACAGACTCATGTTCGTGCTGCTGTTCGGCGTTTTGTTTTTTATGCTACTAGTGCTTCGTGTGTTTTAAGTCAACGTTTTTCTTAGTTCATACCTTAGATCTTATTACTGTTTTTCTTTTACATTTTAATAATTGTGTTGAATGTAACTGGGACCCTGTGTACACAATTCCGTTCCACCACGTGTACCACATGTGGTACTAATGACAAATAAATAACCTTGAATCCTTGAATACCATAAGCTTAGACTTCTGGAGGACAAACTGACCAAATGTCCTCCCTCTGCTGCTGTCTTTACTTGCTCCACTCTACCTGTTTGTATTTGTAATTATTTCTATCCTTAAAATGTGTTTTTTTGTCTTCCTTCCTATAGACATACTAATACATACATAATAATACATACATACTAATACATACATAATAATACATACATACTAATACATACATAATAATACATGCTAATACATACATAATAATACAT